TTCTCTGTTTCTAATTGCTTTTCTATTTCTATCACCCACTGACGGTACTTCTGATTGGCACAATCTTTCCAGAGGTATTTCAATGTATGTATATAGGAGAAATAAATACACAGCAGCTAAATAATCTCAAGTGTCTGAACAAGTATACATATACATATATGCTTTAACATATGGACATACATATATGTATGTATGAATAAATTAATTCAAGTTCAGGCTACGCAGACCTGGGCACGTCTGATCTCATTGTCTCTTGTAAGCTTTATAAGAACTCTGAGCTCTTTGAGCATATATTTTATGCATTAAGGAAAATTTTACACACCCAATCCCTAAAGAACTGTAGGTGACAGCGTCCGATTAGCAGCCATAAGCGCACCCATTCAGGCGGTGGGTAGGTGTGCTTAATGAGCTCCTTGGCTGACTCAGCCTTTTGTATTTTGGACTGCGTCGCTTGGCCTTGGGTTTGCGATTCGTTGAACTTGGCCACCTGAGTATCGGATGGTGGCTCTGCCTCGTCCTGCAGCAGCTGCTGATCGTATCGCCAGCGTGTGTCTCTGGCACCTGCGGTCAAGGCCTCAGTGTGATCATCGAAGTCCCCGTTCACGCACTCCAGCACTGTCACGTGACGACAATGACATTTTTATGATCAGTTAAGGGCGGACGCCAATTAGTGGTGTAGGTCTACTTACAGAAATCGGCTGGATTGTGATAGGCGGGGCACTCGAGTCCGATCGTTTTCAGAAACATCACCGTATTTTGGGGCGTGCCCTGATAGGTGCATTGACCAGAACTCAGCACGTAGATCAGGTTGAACAGATTGTAAATGTTTGTCGATGGCTGGTGGATTGTGCACACAATGGTGCGTCCCTCATTCGCCAGTGTCCGCAGCAATTGTATGGTATCAAAGGAAGACGAGCTGTCCAGGCCACTGTGAAGGGATACAGTCTCAAGGTTAATGCTACATCTGATCGTGCTGTTGTTGCAGTTGCTTACGTTGTGGGCTCATCTAAAAATAGCACAGCTGGATTGTCAATTAGTTCCAGAGCAATAGACAGGCGCTTTTTCTGGCCACCGCTCAGCTTTGAGCATCTTGTCTGCTTGGCCTTGGTCAGTTTTAATGTGTTTAACAAGTGGTCGATCTGAAAGGTATGGAAGAAAACGGGTTAAGGACATTAAGGGAAGTGGAATATTCGCAATGGGAGCTTTTTAAAAATTGCCAAGTGATTTAATCTGGTTTTTAAGGGAGCTTTTATATCATGTTAAGTGAGACTTGAAAAGCCTTAATTAGGCATAGAAGAATTTTTTTTTAGAGTAGGTTGACAACATAAATGGAACAGATAGACTACTGCGGCTTCACAGAGCTTTAAAATTCTTTCAATTAAAGCATATCAGATTTTTAATAAAGCTTTGTTGGCATTTTAAGTATATTTGAGAAGCTTCAAGACGACTTATGTTGATATTAGATTTGAGTAGCTTTTATAAGAACTGAAGTATATATTGAAGAGTGTTGGAAAACCAAGCAAAAGTACAATTATAGTCAAGTTCCACATAACTTTAATAGTAATATATACATTTGTAAAGCTAGAAGCCGCACTCTTTACGCTACAAATCAGAATACAGTGCAAGCTAATAAACAATTCGCTCCAGACCTTTACGTAAAGCGTTTAAATTATTTTTAAGATATGATCAAAAATTTCTTCTAAAAGCTCTACAAATTTCTTAAAGCTGCTAAAGTTATTTCAACCATTTAAGATAAAGTTAAGTTAAAGCTATAAATCATTTGATTTATTGCAAACAACTAAATGCTACTAGAAGTTGCTTAAGGCATTTAAAAGCTCACTCAAGCGCATGTTGGCTTGATGGAGTGTTCTAGTAACAAATTCTCTTATTCGGTTTGATCTGAACTCTTACCAAAATGCGTTTTTCCTTCAGACTAACACACTTATTGGATATCTTAAGTGCGGCTGCTAGAAGCATCGTCTCCTCCACTGTGAAGAATGGATAGAAATGATCATCCTGCATGATGTAGGCGCACAATTTGCGTGCCTTGCCGATTTCAATGGTGCCCGAGACACCATTTTTGGTGAGGCCCGTTAGAATGTTCATAAGACTAGATTTGCCGGCGCCCGATGGGCCCATAATAGCAGTCATCTCGCCCGATTTGAACGTACCGGTAATGCCCTTGAGCACCGATTTCTTTTCTGCAAGCAAATTGCGAATATTTAATATAAATAAAATAATGCAAATATTTCAAAAGAGTTCAGGTAAGATTTGTATACGCTTTTGTGATTGTATTTACGTTTTACACACCTTTCTGCTTCGGCTCTTTGACCTGGTAGACCAGATCTTCAAAGTGTATGTCGATGCCATAAACAGTTTTTAATAGCTTGCTACTATCCATGTTTATTTGTTTCTAATCAATTACTTCTCACTGACTATGTGAAGCTATTTGTTCATCTGTTTTAATATTAATGGTGAAATGTTTCGTTATTTTTTTTTTATTATTATTATTTTTTTATTTAACTCGATTCGTTGTATTTCAGAATTCACTTTGTTTTAAGGTCGCTTATTAAATGCTTTTGGCTAATGCATAATCATTGCTGCAATGCAATTAGTTTCAATGTAAGCGAGCCCCTCTTGCACAAATGTTTAATTACACGCTCTAAACAATTACAAAAAAAAAAATGTAAATTAAAAATTGTAAATCAAAAAAACAATGATGACAAAACACTTTAGGCTTCAGCCTGTTTCATTGTAATTGGAGCGCGAACTGAACTGACATACACGCGGGGCCGAGCTCTTGAACCGCTGAACCGTTGCATAAAACTGCCAAACACCAACCACTCAACCACTGCTCAAGCACCGAGCCGCCAAGCCACTGAACCGACAAACGAACAGCTGTTGACTGCGGAAGAAGCGACTGGGCGGCAGAGCCGACAGCAGAGGCAGAGCCAGCGACAACTGCGCAGCCGCGTCGACGGCCAACGGGGACGTCGACTGCGCAGCCAGCTGTGCTTTATAAAACCAAAGCAAAATCCAATAAATTAAATCCTACAATAACAATGAAGAGACCAGCAGCAGCAACAACAACAACAACAAGAGCTATCTGCTATAATACGCATATCCAAATCAATTTGGCAATGCAAAACGCGTCGACAGAATGACAAAAACAAAATCAAAATTGAAAAATAAAGTCAACAATCGAGCTACGGGAAACCAAAAATGTTCAAGTTTAAAGTTTTGGACGTAGACATTATTTTGGGCGAACAGAACACGCACGCACACGCACACGCACACGCACACACACACATACACACATTCGAACTGTCTATTTGGCTAGTGAGTCAACGGCTATATACATACATATCTACAAGTGTCTATGGAAGACATAATAATAATTATAAAAACACATAAAATGTGTCCCATAGAATGAAATAATTTGCGAACGACCTTCCCGTCATTGGTCTAACACGACAATGCTCAAAAGCGTGGAGCAGAAGAGGAATGCGTACTCTCGCTTCGCATATTATGAATATTATTATTATTATTTCTGTAAATATGTAGGCAAACATCAAGTGTAAATAGCGTTGGAAATGGGACAGCACCGAATATTTGAATATACTTCAGACTTTGAAAGAGTAAAAATTTGAATATATTGGAAAAGTTGCAAACAAATCTAGCCAAACTTCTATATGAAAACCAGTTTGCTGTTTTTTGCTTTTTCTTTTGTATTGTTTTTGATGAACCGTCTCGATTGTTCCATAGCATATCAAAAATGAGAAGATGGTGTTAGATAATAAGCTGATAGATAATAAGCTGAATAGAAGACAATCGTATATCGCACCTACATATATTTTATTTCTGTTTAAATAGATGCTGATATTTTAATAATGCAGAAATTTATTCAACTTACTTTTGTTTATCAAAAGTCATTAAAAATATACAAATCAATTAAATATTGCTTACTTTCTAAGTAAGCATTAAACTGGTTCGAAATATGTGCCAAAAGTGAAACAAT